ATATATAGGTGGTATTTTGTTTAATTTAAATGGAGCACTGCATTGATATTTGCGACACAAACACAGACATATGCACCACTTCTACTGCTGACATCAAACACACTATCGCCTACACCGACATCTGTTGCTGTTTACTTCTCCTATAGCTCAGTATTGTGTTTTATGAAGATTTCTGCTTGTTAAATGAGTTTTAAAAGTCTAACAGTTTGTTGGAGCACAATAGTTCCTTGAAGCTCTTAACATTAAAAAGATATGSATGCACAAGACTGTTCTACCATTATGAAGTTATCGACCAAAAACACTGTGGATTAAAGTATCTATATATTGTATTTGTATTTATTTATTTTATTGTGTTTTTATTGCATTGCAATCTGATGCATACAAGTTTTTCCCCATTCATATGTGTAGTGCTTCTGTATCAACACTTCCTACCTGTTCCTCATTAAGTTCTTGTTTGAGTGTGTTATCAGACACTCATTACCTTCTCCACTGGAGTTGTCAAAGAGCCCTTTATACTCGTATGCACACACACGCACCCCCATTACACTTGGTTCTGCTTCTGTTAGTGTGTGCATAAAAAAATTGTCCACTCTAATCAAAACCCTTTCATGCGTTCCCTGCTTAGTCATCACTTTTATATCATTAATCTCTGTCTTTACCTCCAAGATGTAGTATTACATCTTGGAGGATGTAATACTACATCTTAATGTAATGGACTCTCAATCACAGTCATGTTTTTATCTGCATTGTTTACAGTAATTATGTCAATAATTTAGTCAAACTTTTATTAATCTGTTTTTGGCATGTATTTTTTCAAAAAACTAAACATTGTCCTTTTCTTTCCCACAACAATGAGAAAGTTGAACGATCAGGCTCATAAACATTCAAGTTTAAACAGTTTTAGGGTAGAAAATGTCCTCAGAAATGGTGATCAGATCAGTGTTGCCGCTTGCCTAATAAATGTGCAGGTGGTATAGACTCATCTGTAATCCTGATCATTCACGCACTGAGCTAATTACACAGCAGAAGTGCGTAAAATCATATATAAAGGTCATTAGAATCAGCTAACATTAACAAATCAAAATGGATTTTAAATGGATATAAAATATACTATTGAATGATTTTTCAAAGGGCTTTTGGAGGTTCTTTGAATGTGTGCATAATTATAGTGAATTTATGTATTTACTAATAGTATTTACTGTTACTGATGGAAAAAAGAACAGATAGAGAACAGTCACTAACAAAGCAGCTTTAAAACTGTGTTGAGCTATACTGTACCTTAAAGGTAACAGGCTACTGACCAATCTGGAATCCACTCCTGTCAGCTAAGMTATGAAATTCTCTGCAAGGGGCACATCCTAGTTTGGAAGACAGAAATAATAAAAAAAGGATGCTTGTTCTTTTTAAACCTCAAATTCTTATGAGGCTGCAGATGGCAGGGTCAGAATTTGGCTTGGATAGCATGAGTCTACGGTACCAACCTGCCAAGAGTCCAGGCTGTTCATGGTGGTATGAGGGTGAATGTTTTTTTGGCACAGTTTTAATGCTTCTGAATACTAATTAATGATTGTTTTATGGCTTTAACTCACCCATTTTGTAATGGCCTTTTCAGTACATGGTAATGTAGCGTGTCATTATAAAAAAAGTCATTACAAACTGTTTTTTATGAATGTAGAAGTGAATTCTGTGTACTTCAATTGCCTTTCCAGATGCTGCATCAGAATTCACTAGTCTAATAAATACCTGGTTGTTTGCTGGGTTCTTACAGGGTAAAAATAGTTTTTGATAAAATGTTTATTAATTATAAAAAAATATATGTGTTTTTCTCCAAAACATGGACAGTATCCAAGCTTATTCTCCATCCATCTTATACACTAATTTTACTGGTGAAATTTAAATTCACACCAGTAAATATATAACATACCAACAAAGTGCAATTCAAGACTTGGATATTTATTTTTTGATTTGATTTGATTTATTGATTTAACAGGAAAAGATTACTAAAAATCAAGCCTGACTCAGCATAATTGCTGTTTTACAGCAGATTCTGCAGCACATAAAACACCCAGAAATAAAGCATCGCAATCACATCATTATACAC